GATATGTTAGAAACTTCCTGCAGGTGTTTTGAAGCAAGTTGGAGCTAAACTCAGCAGGACAGCTGCCCTCCAGGACCGAGTTTGGACATGCCTGAACTAACCGATCAACCCACCCAACTGTTAACAGACCATTTATACAACCAACAAAACAACCAATCGACCAACCTACCAATCAACAAACCAACCATCCACCCAACCAATCAACCCACCAATCAATCAACAGACTAATCATCCAACCAACAAAACAACCAATCCACCAACCAACCAATCAATTGACAAACCAATCATCCAACCAACCAACACACCAATGATCAACCGACCAATTATCCAACCAACAAAACAACCAACCCATCAATCAACAAACCAATCATCCAACCAACCAATTAATCAACAGACCCATCATCCAACCAACAAAACAACCAACCAACCAACCAACCAATTAGTCAACAAACAAACCAAACAACCAACTGACTAATCAAGCCAACCAACTAATTAATCAACCAACCAACTAATCAAGCCAGCTAACCAATTAATTAATCAACCAACCAACTGACTAATCAAGCCATCCAATTAATTTATCAACCAACCATTTGACTAATCAAACCAACCAACCAATTAATTAATCAACCAACCAATTGACTAATCAAGCCAACCAAACGACCAATTATTTAATCTACCAACCAACTGACTAATCAAGCCCAACCAACCAATTAATTAACCAACCAACCAACCAACTGACTGACTAATCAAGCCAACCAACCAATTTATTAATCAACCAACTAACTGACTAATCAAGCCAACCAATTAATTAATCAACAAACCAATCGACCAACCAACCACCCAACTGACCAATCAATCAGCCAGCCAACCATTTAGTGTAATTGTGTAATCAGGATGTTAAAATAAACAAAAACTCACTTTTTAAAAATCACCTACAACTTATCTGAGCAATAGTCACGGCACAATAAGCAAATCCCAGCCAGGTCTGTCACGTTTTTGGACTCCCTTTTTCATACTATTTATATATGTTGTGAGAAAAACACTGTGTATCATTCACTAACCATGCATACGCACAAAATATGAAGGTTTTCACAAATAAATCATGAATCATAAAATCTTTTGTACTAAAATTTATTCTAAATCTATGAAAGCCCTTGGGTTTATATTATGCACATTTCTAATCTCATGCACGAGGACGCTCCCTGAGAACACTTTAAATTCACTAACAGAAGAAGTTTAGGTACTAACTCATGTGCGTACACGTGTTGTGTATTAGGCAGAAGGTTTTCGTAAGGTTCAAATGTGCATAAAAACGTGAAAAATGTAGGTAATTATTAGCTAATGAGACCCATTGCGTGTTATAATAATTAACCACTGTGTCTGTGTGAAATCTAAATTTACAATGTTTATTTTGCTAGCTGAACGGTTAATTCGTGCAAATTAGTCCACTGAAAATTATTTTCCTTTTGGTAATCTTCAATCAGGCAGCACGGTGGCTCGGTGGTTAGCATTGCCACCTCACAGCAAGAAGGTCGCTGGTTCAAGTCCTGGCTTGCCAGTTGGCATTTCTGTGTGGAGTTTACAGGTTCTCCCTGTGTTCACGCGGGTTTCCTCCGGGGGCTCTGGTTTCCCCCACAAGTCCAAAGTCATGCGTTATAAGTGAATTGGATGAACTAAATTAGCCGTAATGTACAAGTGTGTGTGAATGTAGTAGTGTATGGGTGTTTCCCAGTTATGGGTTGTGGCTGGAAGGGCATCCGCTGTGTAAAACATATGCTGGATAAGTTGGCCGTTGATTCCTCTTTGGCGACCCCTGATGAGTAAAGGACTAAGCCAAAGGAAAATGAATTTATGAATGTTTTTAAAGAGTAATGTTCATAATTAGGAAATGAGTTAGCCTCTTTTGTCTCTGAGATGAAGCGCTGCTGTTTGTTGTGTGTTTACAGATTGTCAAGTTGAACCGCCGTTTGCAGCTCTTGGAGGAGGAGAACAAAGAGCGAGCCAAGCGAGAAATGGTCATGTACTCCATCACTGTAGCTTTCTGGCTCGTCAACAGCTGGGTTTGGTTCCGACGCTAAAGCTTTAGAGACTCCACTGAGTGGGAGGGGCTACAACAAAACCCCGCCCCTCCTGTTATATGTGTCAAATTTTAGCCATGCTTTATAATGGCTCCAAAAAAGTTGTTGTTTTCTTCACAGCAAGAGCAGTAAAGTCAGGGATAGCTTTCTATGTTTGGAATTGTCTGTCTGATTTTTTTTTTTTTTTATTATTATTATTATAAATGTGTATTTATACATGTTTTTTTATTATTTGTACAATTGTACAAATTATCTTTTCTTTCTTTTGTATGTTTTATTATTTTGGGGTTCCTTTGCCAAGGCCAAGCAAGCATGAACTAGATGTGTATATATATATATTACTTCACGTGTCTAAGTTTGGCCCTAGCTGTTTATTTTCTTTCATAGGTTTACTATATAGCAGATAGAACAATATTATGTCAACTTTGAGAAAGACCAATGGAATGGGAAGCACTGATGTATCATAGACAAATGATATTAAAAAGTCATTGTAATATTTTAGGTAAATTATATACATCTGTATGTTACCTTGCATCGACATTGAAACATACTTGTTTGTGTGGGTTTAGTCCTGCTCATTATTTATGCTCATTGTATGCTGATGATGATGTTTCTGCTACAGCCTTTTTGCAGGATGATACTGAAATGGTACAAGATCAGTTTTCCACTCACAAAGCCGTGAACATTGTATTACAAATGCTTTTGTTTGAATAAATGACAACAGTAGTGAACTTCTTTTGCTTCTTTTTTATCTTTGTTTAATTTTAGTTTCACATTAGTGTTTAATTTAGTATATTTAGTCAATATTATTAACAAATATTGGATGACTTTTTATATTGCATGACCTATTTCAAGTCATTAAAGTTATACAATATATATATATATATATATATATATATATATATATATATATATATATAATTAATAATAAATATAATACTGTTAGTATTTTGAACATGGAAAATTAAAAGCATATGTTTTACTTGTTCATATTTTAGTAATTACAAAAAGTATTACAGCTGGAAAATAAGCACTATTACTGTTTTATGCTAGCTCTCTTCAATTCTCACATGGTCGCCCACTGAAGCTAAGCAGTGCTGTTCCCTATCACATGGGAAAGCTAGGTTGTAGAAGTCGTGTTAGTGAGACCAGCAAGGGGCGCTCAACCTGTGGTCTGTGTGAGCCTAACGCCCCAGTATAGTGAAGGGGACTCTTTCGGATGAGACGTTAAACTGAGGTCCCGACTCTCTGTGGTCATTAAAAAACCCAAAATGTCCTTCAAAAAAATGAGAAGGGGTTTAACCCCAGCATCCTGGCCAAATTTGCCCAATAGCCTTTGTCCATCATGGGCCCCTAATCATCCCCATAGCATATATGGCTTCATCACTCTGTCTCCTCTCCACCTATCAGCTGGTGTGTGGTGTGTGTTCTGGCACAATACGGCTGCCGTTGAGTCATCCAGGTGGATGCTGGATACTAGTGGTGGATGAGCAAATTCCCCCCAATGTGTAAAGCGCTTTGAATGTCCAGAAAAGCATTATATATATGTTAGAAAATATAATTATTATTTAATTGTAATTTAATTTCTCTATGATAATTTTTATATTGTATGGCCTAATTAAAGTAAAAAGGTTATTTATATAAAGTAATGGTTATAGTTTGAATAAGCGAACATGCAAGAACGTTTATTTTTGTAATTAATATGTTCTGAATAATGTCAACACTAAAACTTAAGCTAGCATTTATAATTGATATACCTTGGAATAACATGGTACCACCACAGTACTTTTTATATCGTACACAAACACATGGATGTATATTGCCACTGTTAAAACAGTATTTAATGACAAAATAAATATATGAAATTAAATGTCATGCAGAAAAGCCATTACATTTCAATTTAAAAAAAAAAAACATTACAATAGACATTACACACAATTTAAAATCATTCTTCATATTGTCTAAAAAAACACACTGTTCTGTGATCATATAGTGACTGAAATTAAATTCATTATGCCAGGATATTTTTATATTGTTTGCACATTCGATTTTCAGTTATGACTTGCACCACCTCAGATGTTTTTTAGTTTAGTTTTGTTTTGTTTTTAAGGAACAGCATATGACATTTTACATAAATAATTTAGATGCCAGGGGGAGGAAGAATTAACATAATACAAAATCTACTTATGCAGTAATTATATTAATACATTATAAAGTTTACACAATTTTAAAGTGTGAAGTGCTTTCTAGTAGAGAGTCTCTGATACTGAAAATAAAAGCGTATTTCAGTCAACAAAACTTTAAATTAGGATTCTTTTGTATTTATTATTGCTCTTATTTTGCTTTATTAACAAAAACCAGGGAGCGACATGGTGGCTTATTGGTTAGCACTGTTGCCTCACAGCAAAGAAAGTTGCTAGTTGGAGTCCTGGCTGAGTCAGTTGGCATTTCTTTGTGGAGTTAGCATATTCTCCCCATGTCGGTGTGGGTTTCCTCCGGATGCTCCGGTTTCCCCCAAAGACATGCGTTATAGGTGAACTAAACTGTCCACAGTGTATGTGTCTGCAATGAGAGTGTATGGATGTTTCCAAGTTCTGGGTTGCAGCTGGAAGGGCATCCGCTGTGTAAAACATATGCTGGATAAGTTGGCGGTTCATTCTACTGTGTCGACACCTGATAAATAAAGGGGCTAAGCCAAAGGAAAATGAATGAATGAACAAGAACCAGCATTTAGTTTCATTATACAATTTAATCACTTCACAATCCTTAACAAGAAGGAATAAATGAGATAAGAAAAATAAAATAATGATAAAAAAAAAGAGGGAGTGGGTGCATAATTATCAATTTACATTAAAAAAAAATTTTTTTTTTTCAAATGTAGTTATTTACAAAAGTTAAAACACCAACTAGGAGCTCCGGCCAGGAGACGGCGCTGTGGACAGTTTGCCCCCGGGTTTCAGTCGCTCGTTCGCGGAATGCGCAGTGTGTGAGGTCGCAGCTGTCATGGCGGCGTGCAGGGCGCTCGTGAGTCGTGCCGTTTTGCCTTTGCATTATCATCATGTGTGCAGAGGAGTGATGCTCACCCAAATCAGAGAGAAGAAGAGATGGATGAAGGCCTACATGTTCGTCATGCGCAAGAAGTTGAAGCTGGAGGGACCTCCAGCTCCAAAGCCACGGTCAGTAAAGCATCTCAAGGCCACTTATGAGTGAGACACAGGGCTGTGACACAAATCATGTTCAACCGCCTTCCTAGGATGCATATATGGGTGTCAAGAGGGCTTAAGGATTGAGGTAAAGTTGGTTTTATATTCGCACATTCGTTCAGTGACAACTTGTGACAAGCTTCTTATGTTTACCATGCTACTTTGAGTATTGGGTCTGGTCAATCACAGGTAGGTATGACTTGAAAACAGCATTAGCAGCAGCATTATTTATTTGACTGAACAATACTGTACTTTGATAGTCGTTTGGCTGCTAATATGATTTCACTATTTAGAATTTGCAAACAATATTTTGGTGAAATTATAATAGTAAGCTGAAAGCCCGAATGTGATAATATAATACCAACTTTACCTCAGTTGCTTAAGAGTGTACGTTATCTGTGTTGACCAAAAAAAAGACAGCTCACAGGAAATTGAGACACAGCCAATGAGTACAAATGTCCAGATGCACTAAACAAATGTACTAAACACAGTTAACTATTGTTATTTCACATTTAGTGTTCAATAGTTCAACAAAGAAGTAAATATCATTCTAATTGTAGTAAAGCTATATGCATACCATCTGTCTAAATAATTTGCGTTATAGAGCCATAGAGCTGTTTGTTTCAATATTAGTGGTTAATTTAAGTAGATGATTTGGCTTGAGCAATAAAAATAATATTTACAAGAATTTTCAATTGTTAGTTATAGACCATTTCCATGCGTAAACATGAAATTCAATTCAATTCAATTGTTTTTTGTCATGTGCACAGTAAGGAAACACGTTTCCCTGTACAATGAAATTCTTACTTTGCCGTCCACAATGGTTTTTGTTTTCCGAGTATTCAGTTAGCATTTCATGTATGCATTTTAAATATGAATAACTTTGGGTGGCATTTTTTTATTTTGCGATAAATATTGCGATATGAATACAATTTCACCAGATGACTTAATATCTCTGTTCGAAAAGAATTTATAATATTAGATCACCTGGGATGATTTTGCAGTGGGAGTGCATCTCCATAAAATCTAATAAGCAATCTATACATTTTTTGGGTCTCCTGACACATTTTCACAGTTGTCTTTGCTATTTGCTGTGCATTTCTGTATTTGCATGTGTTGTGAGTGTTTTTATGCACTTGTTTAGTCAGAGATTGATTACTTAATGTTCAATATTTGCATCTCCATCAAATCTAGTAAACAATCTATAAACTTTTTGGGTTTACCCAACTTATTTTCGTTGTGGTTTAAGCTATTTGCAGTGCATTTCTGTATTTGCATGTGTTGTGAGTATTTTCTATAAATACAATACAGAAAAATATACAATTGAAATAAAGTGTTTCAGCGTTTACCGAGTCTTTCAGTATTCAAATACAGTAACTGAATGGTACAAAAAAAATTCAATAAACTTAATCAAAGTTAAAAACACAAATGGTGCAATTTCTTATACCTGAATACTTTTAAAATAATTATACAATCACAGGCATCAAAAACACATGCAAGTGATAAATTATAATACAAACTCAACATTAATCATCAATAAGCTATCTTACTAAATTAATAATACAGGTTTGAAAGAATATAAAGATAAATTAATGGGGGAATTATCTTTTGTAAATGATTAAAAGACATCTATATTAATAAAATTGTATTAAATAAAATTATAAATACACTACCTGACAAGTCTTGTCGTCAATCTTGACTGCTAGTTGATCATTTAGAAATGTGGCAGAAGGTAGATTTTTCTGATGAATTATGTTGAACTGCATCCCAATCATCACAAATACTGCAGATTACGTATTGGAACCTGCATGGACCAAAGATTCTTACAGAAATCATTCAAGTTTGGTGAAGGAAAAGTCATGGTTTGGGGTTGCATTCAGTGTGGGGGCAAGCGAGAGATTTGCTGAGTGGATGGCAACATCAACAGCCTGAGGTATCAATACATTTGTGCTGCCCATTACGTTACAAAGCACAGGAGGGGGTGAATTCTTCATCACGATAGCGCTCCTCTTCATACTTCAACCTCCACATCAAAGTTCCTGAAAGCAAAGAAGGTCAAGGTGCTCTACTATTGACCAGCCCACTCACCAGATATGAACATTATTGAGCATGTCTGAGGTAAGATGGAGGAGCAGGCATTGAAGATGAATCCAAAGAATCTTGATGAACTCTGGGAGTCCTGCAAGAACGCTTTCTTTGCCATTCCAGATGACTTTATTGATAAGTTATTTGAGTCATTGCAGAGATGTATGGATGCAGTCCTCCAAGCTCATGGGAGTCATATCAACTCTTTTTGCACTGCACCATGACTTAATATTCTATTGTGCATTATTTATATTAAATGACAAGACTTTTGTCTAAGCAAAGTCAGACCTTACTGTCCTAATTAAATCATTAAAAATCAAGGCATGATCAGTTTTATTTTGGTAAATTAAGCATAATCTAGAGGCCTTTGCCTTTCATATAAGCCTCGTCTGATACCAATTGATCAACTAGAAGTCAAGTTATTATTGGTTGTTCCTAAAACTTGGATAGGCAACAAGGCTTTTGTCAGGTGGTGTATATACATTTTGTGTGCAAGTGTGTATGTGTGTTTCACTATAATTGTATTGATATTGATGTTTTGTCCACATCACCTCTGAAATTATGTCTCCATCCATGGCTTTAACTCTCTTGTGTCTTGTCTTTTGATCAGCTCTGAACAGCCGAACTTTGATTACCATGCTGAGGTGGAAGCTTTCGGAGTCCGTCTGCAGGAGAGTTTCTCTGTGGATTTGCTGAAGACGGCGTTTGTGAATTCCTGTTACCTACGCTCTGAGGTGGAGAGGAGGAAAGCGCTGGGTTTGGATTCAGAGTCCGCCATCCTTAACCTGAAAGACAACACTGAGCTGCGTGATCACGGTCAACACTTCACTACGGTAAGCACAGTCAGATCACAGTTGCCACGCCAGACAAAGCAGATCTATGCCCGGTTGCCAGATCTGTTTTGTTGATATCTGTCTAACATCAAAACTGTATTAATTAGGCTTTTATCAAAGAGGAACTTGGCTGTAAAATGCAGAAGCAGGAGCCAACGGAAAGGTAGTAAAGAAAAGTAGAGTTAAATCATCTGAGTTGCAAGATTTGAACAGATTTATGCATGTTGAAAATCAACGTTAGAATCTGTTAAAACAACGTTAGTATCTGTTAGCTTTTACTGTAAGGGAAAAACTGGCTAATTTTGAGCTTTACCCCTCTAATTTTTTAAAATCTTTCAGCTTTAAAATCTCTGTCAGGCAGCGTTACTTTTGGTGATGTAGCATAAGCCTCTGTGTACTCCAGTGAAGTGTTAGCTGTCTAAATATTATTCATGAGACTGAGTTTTGTTATTCTATAGGAAGAGCTGCTTCTGAATAATTCAGTCAGTCTGACTTATGAAATCAAATATCCCTCAAACATACACAATATAATTTAAACAACAGAGGTTAAACCATAGTTATAACACTAAATATATGATTAAATTAACCCTTGTGTATTGTTGAAATGCACTACCCTTTCATAATCTTTTTGGCTGTTTTTACCCCATTGACTTTCATTATAATGACATTTTTTGATTGCAAAGCCATGACAGCATATAATCCTGCATTCTTGATTGTTGGTGGTTTTCCCTGTTGAGAAGAGGTCAAATTTGTAATTTTTACTGTTAATCATCAGTTGACACTATTATCCCTTTAGAAAAACTTCTATGGAGAACAACAACAAATGAAAGTGTGTATGCATAAATACACACTACCTGACAAAAGTCTTTTCATCGATCACAGTTGTAAGAGCAACAAATAATAACTGGACTTCTAGTTAATCATTTGGAAAACTGCCTGAAGGTAGATTTTTCTGATGAATTATTTATTGAACTGCATCCCAATCATCACAAATACTACAGAAGGAACTAAGATTGGAACCTGCATGGACCCAGGATTCTCACAGAAATCAGTCAAGTTTGGTGAAGGAAAAGTCATGGTTTGGGGTTACATTCAGGTTGTGGGGCTTGCTAGAGATCTGCAGAGAGGATGACGACATCAACAGCCTGAGGTATCTATACATTTGTTCTAGCTATTACATTAAAAACCACAGGAGAGGGCTAATTCTTCAGCAGGATAGCGCTCCTTCTCATACTTCAGTCTCCACATCGAAGTTCCTGAAAGCAAAGAAGGTCAAGGTGCTCCTGGATTGGCCAGCCCAATCACTAGACATGAACATTATTGAGCATGTCTGGAGTAAAATAGAGGAGGCATTGAAGATGAATTAAAATAATCTTGATGAACTGCAGGAACGCTTTTTTTGTCATTCCAGATGACTTTATTAATAAATTATTAGAGTCATTGCAGAGATATATAGATGCAGTCGTATAAGCTCATGAAAGTCAAACACAATATTAACTCTTTTTCCACTCCATCATGACTTTATATTCTACACTGTACATTATTTCTGTTAAGTTACAAGATTTTTGTCTAAGCAAACTCAAGGCTGATTTATACTTCTGCGTCAAACACCGGCGTATGCTACGGCGCTGACGCATAGCCCTTCGCCGTGGCCATTGCCGTCGCTGACGTGCACCTCTCAAAATTTGTAACTACACGTCGCAACAACGCGTAGCGCAAGCTCTGTGATTGGTCGGCTTGCTAGCGCCGACGAGTCTGGGCGGGACCGAAAGCCGCGCGAATGGCGCGAGCGATTGTTTACAAGTGTGGAGTCCCGTGAAGGAGCTCCGGATGGAAAGTTTTGTTCTGTGTTTACCTCATGGTTAAAGTTGTTGCACGTCTGCCGGTTCCTGCCTCAAAATGAGCGAGTTTGAGTCACTTGTACATCCAGGAAGTGTTCAGAATAGCAAAACAGAAGCGAAGAAACTCGACACAGAGGAACATTTACACCTCACTGCCCACTAGCGTTTCGGAAGTGTTAATGCAGACCAACAAAGACAGCGCGCAGAAGTATAAATGCACAGCTGCGCGCGTTGCCTGCGCCGTGAGTTGCGCCGGTCACTTGACGCAGAAGTATAAACCAGGCTTCAGACCTTACTGTACAAATAATTAAAAATCAAGGCATGATCATGTTTTGTTTTGGTAAAATAAGTGTAAAAATCAAGTTATTATTTGTTGGTCCTAAAAACTTAGGATAGGCGACAAGACTTTTGTCATGTAGTGTACACTTAAGGCTGATTTATACTTCTGCGTCAAACACCGGCGTATGCTACGGCGCTGACGCATAGCCCATCGCCGTGGCCGTCGCCGTCACTGACGTGCACCTCTCAAAAATTGTAACTACACGTCGCAACAACGCGTAGCGCAAGCTCTGTGATTGGTCGGCTTGCTAGCGCCGACGAGTCTGGGCGGGACCGAGAGCCGCGCGAATGGCGCGAGCGATTGTTTACAAGTGTGGAGTCCCGTGAAGGAGCTCCGGATGGAAAGTTTTGTTCTTTGTTTACCTCATGGTTAAAGTTGTTGCACGTCCGCTGGTTCCTGCCTCAAAATGAGCGAGTTTGAGTCACTTGTACATCCAGGAAGTGTTCAGAATAGCAAAACAGAAGCGAAGAAACTCGACACAGAGGAACATTTACACCTCACTGCCCACTAGCGTTTCGGAAGTGTTAATGCAGACCAACGGAGACAGCGCGCAGAAGTATAAATGCACAGCCACGCGCGTTGCCTGCGCCGTGAGTTGCGCCGGTCACTTGACGCAGAAGTATAAACCAGGCTTTACTATGTTTACTGTGTTGTAAGAGCTGAGCTGCTGTCTGATTTTTCAGACATATCAAAGTAAGTGAGCAAAGGTCTCTCTCTCTCACATGTGCACACATGTACTCCATATAAAAGCCAGAAACTATGTTTTTTTTTTCACTGCAACTGTTGATCACTAGTAAAAATTGCTAATTTTACCTGTTTCTAACAGGTATCTATCAAAAAATGTCATTATAATGAAAGTCAATGGGGCAAAAACAGCCACCAACACAACGGAAGGGTAGTAAATTTGCTCAGTGTATTGTTGAGCTTTTGAAAACTTTCAAAGCATTTTCCTAAAATATTTGTCAAAATAAGATTTGTAACCAAAAGTCTTTTCATATGCTAAAACACAGAGAAAGTTTTATCCAAATTAAGACTCAAAATAACCCGGGAGTGGATGAAAACATCCCAAACAGCCCACAAGGGTTAAATAATTAAATGAAGAATAAATCCGTGTAAAATAGAGAAAAGAGCGTTCCTAAAGTAACACACACACAAAGTCATGTTGCTCAGGGTGGTCCGGTTTCCCCCACAAATCCAAAGATATGCACTATAGGTGAATTGGGTAGGCTAAATTATCCAGTGTATGAGTGTGTATGGATATTTCCCAGTGATGGGTTGCAGCTGGAAGGGCATCTGCTGCATAAAACATAGGCTGGATAAGTTGGTGGTTCATTCCGCTGTGGCAACTCCAGATTAATAAAAGGACAGCTGAACAGAAAATGAATTAATTAATGATATGATATTGATATTTCTCTCCTAATGTTGTTGTGCACAGGGTTTCCTGAGTGACTGGTGCAAAAACAGCTTTCCTAATCTTCCTGATGAGGGCGTGGCAGCCATTGCAGGTCACCTGACCGGGTCAGAGGTCATATGTCACGTGGCACGAAACCTGGCTGTGGAGGAGCTGACGATGAGTGCAGAGTTTCCTGTGCCGGACCACATCCTGCAGGGAACGTTCTTCGCTGTAATTGGTGCTCTGGAGCAGAGCAGCGGGCCTGTGCGAGCCGGCCTTTTCATCAGGGTAAGACAAGTGTACAGGAAAAGTGCTTTTACTATTATTATCGTTATTATTTGAATGAACTGAAGTAGTGCATTAAATTTATGTTATGTTTTGTGATATATTATGTAACGTTAATTTATCTTTTTTTAAAGACATTTTTATATGGATTATTAGACAACATGGCATTTTTTTATGAATCCGTATTTGGTGGAATAATCGTTAGCATGTTTTAAAATGAATTAAATGTTGAATAAATTGTATCAAATTGATTTGTCGTTATGTGTTATATATTTGTAAATGTTTTAGATGTTAAATTACTGATATGTTATAAATAATAATATTGTGCAAATGTATGTTTGTCACAGGCCTAATCTCTGTGTGTGTGTACTAAAGGTGTGACATTTTGCAGGATTTCCTCGTAACTCAGCTGATAGGCAAAGATCTGTTTGACATGTGGAAAGTGGTGGATCCCATGGGGCTCCTGGTGGAAGAACTGACCCGTAAAGGTGTAGCTCTACCTGAGCCCCGTCTCATCCGCTCTGCTGGAGCCAGCACTGTCCTCCCTTTGTATTTTGTTGGCCTTTACAGGTACGGCACAAGTACTGGAACAATAAGTTACAATATTTTTCTTTTTTAATACATAGCAAATAACAAAACAAAAACATTTGCAAAACATTGTGGAAAATCATGCTGCTCGATATCTGAGCCTTCATCTGTATGGTCGGTAGGGCAGTGTCAACGTAGCGATGTTGTTGCTATATTTAGCCACTGTTTAGGCTACCCTGGCAGCTTTATCTTCAAAATGCACCTAGCATCAAATTGATCTACAATTTTCAATTTACAACTTTACAATTTTCTTTTGAAAGGAGCTTTTAAAATTCTCCAGAAATCAAACACCACTGTTCTGCTAGTCAGCCAACAGCACATTAGCCATGAGAAAGTTGGAGAGAGAAGCCTAGCAGGACAACTAGTTGCTATGCAATACTAAATGTTGATTTATCACTATGTGTATATTAGTTTGTATGTACTAATCAGTTTGGTACTATACAAGAAACTTGGGATGTCTCCGTTAATGGCATAGTGGTAAGTGTGTTAAAACATGTACTCCAGTGCTTACAGCTACCTGAGTTCGATTCCCGCCTCAAGGTCCTATGTCAGGGGTGGCCAACCCTGTTCCTGGAGAGCCACCTTCCTGCAGATTTCAGTTGCAACCCATATCAAACACACCTGAACCAATTAATTAGGACCTGAACACCACGTGATAATTACAGGCAGGTGTGTTTGATATGGGTTGCAACCGAAATCTGCAGGAAGGTGGCTCTCCAGGTACAGGGTTGGCCACCCCTGTCCTATGCTGATCCTTCCCCTTTCTCTGCTTCCCATGCTTTCCTGTCAGCACTGTCTACTACTGTCTGTCTACTGTCCTATTAAAGGTAAAAAATAAAAAAGATGAAACTGGGGAATAAAAAATAGTTACTGTAATTTTGTGCAACACGTAAGTTTAAAACCCAAAAATAAAAATTCTGAAAGTTTGTTTTATTTCTTTTGAACACAAAAGAGGATATTTTGACGAATGTTGGATATAGGTAACCATTGATTTACACAGAATTAGTTTTTTCTTCTATGAATGACAATTGTTTGTTTCAATTGTTTCCAGCATTCTTTAAAATATTTTCTTTTGAGTTCAATAGAAAAAAAGACTCAAACTTGTGTGGAACAGAGGGTGAGTAAATAATTGCAGAATGTTCATTTCTGGGTGAAATAACCCTTTAAGTTGACCATAAGTCATTTGTGATAATTGTAAAACACAATGCAGTGTGTACTTGTAAATGGTAAAAAAAAAAACTATAGTAATAATAATAAATACATATTGTGCACTGGTTTTACAGAGTGTGTACCAACTTTTAAAACTATAATTATTCAGAATGTGTAGTTACTATTTAATATGAACATGCATCAAATGTTAATGTTAAAATAACATTATATTTCTTCTAATATATGTTGTTAATAAAATATTTTGTGTTGGTTTCATAAACAAATCTAAATTCACATCAAATAATATATTTTTCTAAGATGGCCAGTCAATTTTCATTATCTGTTGCGTATTCAAATCCACAAGTTACAGATTTGTGCCTAGGTTGCATAAAGATGTCATCTCACAATGACATCACAATGACATCTGGCATCCTTCAGCAATAAATTGACCTGCCTTCAGCAGCATTGCTTAAAAATAAATTACCAACACTGTATCAGTAAATGAAGTGTTTTGGTAAAATAATCAATTGTGTTATTCCGGGTTCAAGATTTATTCTGGCCTCCTCCAGAAAACTATTTCTATAGCAAACAATCAATACTCGCTTTGTGTTAATAGGTTTTTAAAATGGCATATCTTTTTTTTCATCTCTTTTATATTGCGTCAGTGACCGTAAGCTGTTGGCTCAGGGTCCAGGCGAGACTGTCCTCATAGCTGAAGAAGAAGCGGCTCGAGTGGCTTTGAGGAAACTCTACGGCTTCACAGAGAACCGCAGGCCATTTGACTTCACTGCACCCCGAGACCAGCTTCAGAAGCCCAGCACACAGGCTCTCACCAGCGGATGAATGACACTGTATCATGACTTAAAGAGCATATTCCAGTGGGACACGTTTTGGAGAGCTAAAGTACATGCATTCATCTGCTGTATGTTGGGTGTTGCTGTCAGGTCACTAGAGGCCTGCGTAACATGCCTGAGAGACTCTTAATGTACCACTGACTGACAGTAAAAACATCATATACATCTGCCTTAAGAGCATTCATCTATTATGCAGATGCAGATTCTTTATATTTCATCTGTTGTTGATTAACAACTGTTGTATATAAATGTTACGCTTTGGCTGATAATAAAGGTTCTGAACCGAATGTTCTAGTTGAAGTGTTCTCTCTGGATTAAATGCAAAAAAATTTAGGCATAGCTTAATGTGTTGTCAAGGATAGCAGTTTTGGTCACCATTAGCGGTAAAGTCTAGGCGGTAGAGTCAAAACTCTTCAAACTTAAAAGCTTCATTTCAAATGGTTTCCAATACAAATCCCATTAAAAAAACATTACAACCAATCAACTTTTAAACATCAAAGCTAGTCCATTTTAATGGTTACTACTGTGATTTGGGACATATGCCATAAGGATTTGGTTTAAACAGTGTCACCAATAGTAGACAACAAATCACCAGTAAAGATCCACTAAAATGGTTTACATTAAAACTGCTAAAATTCCCATTATATTCCTTACAATGCTTTTACAGCAGGGACATTTCTATCTGTCTGTCTATCCATTTCAAATTGTTTCCACTACAAATGCCATGAAGATATTATAAATCATTACCTTTTAAACATTAAAACCAATGAATTTTACTGGTTACTCTGTATTTTGGCACATTTGCCATTAGTATGCCATTGGTTAAAAAGACACCAACAAAAGCAACAAATTACCAGTAGAGATCTGCAGGGACTACTACACAGTTTCAATTTACTAGAACTTCTATGTTAAGCTGCTTTGACACAATCTGCATTAGAAATAAAGATGAATTGAATACATTAAAACCACTAAAATTCCCATTATATTCTATACAAAGCTTTTTCAACAGGGAAATTTCTATCTCTGTCTATCTACCTATCTGTCTATACAATTGTTTGCTATTTATTCAAACTATTTATTTAAGATGAACTGAAACAACACAACTCTTAAGTTTTTTAAGGGGCAACTTGATTGTTTTATCTGCAATCCTATTAAATTTGTAAAATAATAATAAGTTAACTTGATTCCTTGAAGTCTACTTGATTCCTTTATGCTGTCCCAATACAAGTTGATCCCAGCATTTTTTAGTCTATCTATCTATCTATCTATCTATCTATCTATCTATCTATCTATCTATCTATCTATCTAGATAGAGTCTAGATGACTCTTAAAATCTGTTAATCATGGCAGTCTTTAAGACAGCATCGAACCTTCTTTACACTACACGTTTAATCTGGTTTCATTTACACCATTATTGCTTAACACAAATTCATAGCCTTCTTAAATGATTCATGCCCTCAGCCAGTTAAATCCTTTGAATTAGGTCACTAGCAGAGAACTGGACGTGATTTATTCGCGTTAATGTGCTGCACCACGTGTTCCTGTAGAGGGCGCTGAAAATGAAGAGCATTCTGTCATTTACTCACTCTTTACTTGTTTCAAGCCTTAATGTGTTTCTTTTCTTAAACACAACCAAAGACTTTATGATAAAAAAATGTATTAATCAAAGGGACTTTGACACAATTAGTAGTTAGAAATGTTAGAAACATGTAAATTGAATGCCATAGTATTTGTTTTGATCGATAGAATCCTCATGTGGCTTACAGGTTTTCAGCTTTCTTCAAAATATCTTCTTTTTGTGTTCAACAAAAAAAACTCATAAAGGTTTGAAACCACTTGAGGGTGACTTAAAAGTACATTGGAGTTTTGGATGAACTATCCCTTTAAATAAGGGCGAGAACCGTTTTTTATTTAGTCTATGGCGAGAACGTGCACTCGAGAAGTCTGCTAAACGGGTTCGACTGCGGTCACGTGATCCTAGAAGGTCGTCTACGATTGGCTACTCGCTTTTCCTTTCCAGAGTTTTCGCCCCTTTGCTAGTGGATTCATCCGTTTCTGGACGCTTTTATACAGATAAACAAAAATTGTCCTTACTAATAACCACACACGTCGAGGCAAAATACTGCCAGGCGTATAATTTTCCCACTTCCATAAATTGTAGCACCGCAAATAACGTTTTACAAGAAGTTTTAGCACTGAGCTCTGCGTTATCTTGCGTCCGCCGAGTTCTCTTCGCCTCCTGTTGGTCGTCAAGTTAAACTACACGGTATAATAATTCAATGAAGATGAATACAGAGTGGGAGGGCTGGGCTGGCTGTCGAGAGCAGATTACTGGTAGTGAAAGTCGAGTGGGCAGACTGGATGTTAAAGAAAGACCCTCCTCTCTTCACTACCGTTGTTCGAGAAACGTGAGGCCCTTCTGAAGAACTCCGGTCCGTCTCCCGGTAATCCGTTTCAAAGGAAGTTCCGTTGGTTACTCTTTCCCCAGGACACTTACTGGATCTTTTAAATATATCACTTGTTTTAACTGACTAACGCTATATTAACGGCTCCGGCCATGGCAGCGAGCGCGAAGCGAAAACAGGAGGAAAAACACCTGAAGATGCTGCGAGAAATGACGAGTTTGGCGCCCAACCGAAAGTGCTTCGACTGCGACCAGCGCGGGCCGACCTACGCCAACATGACGGTGGGCTCGTTCGTCTGCACGTCCTGCTCTGGCATCCTGTAAGCCACCCTCTTGTCTCTCTGTCTGAGCCTCTTTCTTTCACACACTGGGGCTGTGTCTCAAAATGTAGTGTTCTGCCTATCTAGTAGACTAGACACCGTGAGCGCATTGTCTGAACGTGTCTAGTTAGGCTGTTTGCTAGATTGTGAAAGCTATTGTTTTAACCCAGCTGTTGATCCATTAGCATACATGCTTTGTTAGAGGGGCTTTAATGCAAATAAAGGCTGAGTAAATGTTTTGTTGACTTGGGGGGTTGGTTATCTGTCAGTTAGCATAAGCAGGCTTGACGTGTGGGTGAGTTGAATTTTGGGTGGGTGGGCTAATGCGGTAACATCTTATTCATGTGTGTCTTTTGTCCACTCCAGCAAACTTGAGCTACTACCTGTAACGTTATGCTTTCTACATAGTCATGTCCCTGCATTGTCTTATCTAACTACAAGGAGAGGCTCTTGTGGTTCAGATAAACCCCTATACAGCATGTGGAAGGGCTGGATAGTCATTGAGACACATGGTGGCATGTGGCAAAGGGTGTGTGCACTCATGCGGTGTTTTCTCTGATAGCAGAGAACTTGACAGTCCCTAAATGAAGCTGAGTTTATTCAAGGAGTTGCTTGTATGGGGTAGATCAAGTTTACAGAATGATTAATTGCATATAAAATATAGAAAAAAATGCATGTATGTGTATATATATATATATATATATATATATATATATATATATATATATATATATATATATATATTAGGGGTGTCACGATTTTGATTTTTAATTGAAATCGATCGAAATTTATGCTCAACTTCGATTATTGAATCAAAAAATAGAATCGTTGAAGCTGCCACGCCCCCATGTCACATCAGCTCGGCTTGCCAAGCGGAAAAAAACATGTTTGTTGAAGTGCTTGTTAAACTGCAGACGCAGGATACCCGTCGACAGAGCTTAAATCCTCTCCTCTTTCAATGAAGTCGCCGGTGTGAAAGTATTTTGGATTTCCAGTTAGTTATGTTGACAACGTTTGTGTTGTCGACAAAAAAAACACAGTTTGCAAGCTCTGCTATGTACGCATTACAGTTGGGATGATAGACGATGGGCGCATCGCGATCCTCCGCCCCGCACCCGTTGCAAATCCGCTCGCGAAAAATACACACTCAGGCCCTGTTTAAACTAATATGTCTTTGTTTTTAAATGGCATTTTAGAACGACAACGATCCACATCCACACTGGCGTGTAGCATTTCTGAGCAGCCCTCTTTCCTCACTACCGCTGAAAACGCACATCACGTGACCACACACACTCAGGCCCCGTTTACACTAGTGCGTTTTAGTTTTAAAACGGCGTTTTAGGATGAAAACGATCCGCGTCCACACTCGCGTTTTACCCATCGTTTCTCAACTGCTCTCCGTCCACACCAAAACGCTGAAAACGCACATCACGTGACCACACACACACACTTTGGCAAGCGCTCCAGCATTTCTACCCAGATGAGAGCTCTGCTAGTTGGACTTCTCATCAAGCATCTCCCGCTGGATCTAATCTCACTATATTTATTAAACGTGATATTTCATTCATCTTGTTGTCTTTATCTAACTACATATTCCCTGACTTTGGTCATTGGAATCTATTACTTGTTCTCAGGTAACGTGTTTTGGCTGAGCGCAAAGATAAGTTAATGATTAATGTAAGCACGTAGCCTACATTCTGTATATTGACCAATCGCTAGCCTTTATTTCCTATAATGTATAAACTTATTGTATGTTATACTTTTATAATGGCCATTATCGATTATTAAAACTGATATTCAGCAAAAGAGAGGGTATGTTTCGTATTTTCACTGAAATTGAAAGGAGGCAGTTGTTATCGGCTCCGTTTTGTTATAAATATCCACACAGTGAAGATGACGCTCATATATGCAGCACGACGCCTCAACATTTCTGCTGTCTGTTTAGTTGTTAATATTAAAAAGAAAATAGGCAGTTCCTTATATCAAGTTTACATTTTATTGTTGAGAAAGTGAAACAACGTAGCCAAGGTGATGTGAATGAAGTTATAAAGTACACTGTTCCCTGTGAAGATTGACGCGTGTCCTCGGTATGTTTTCCATATCAAACTGAGAAGAAGAGATGCAGCCTTGATCAAACTTGCGAAGTCTGAACTTACACGGAGAAGATTCAGGACTGAACTGTGTGTTAGGCTACTTAATATTGAGGAAAAGCCCCAATCAGAGAGGCGAATGTCTGCAGCCCCGCCTCCGTTTTCAGATGTCTCCGTCTTTCCCCATCCACACTGAGACGGAGCAGCAGCGTTTTAGAATGAAAACGGCCTCTCCAGCGTTTTCGAAACGCTCCGTTTTCGGCGCTCGAGAACTCCGGCGTTGTGTGGACGGATGGCGTAACCGTAGCAAAACTTATGCGTTTTCAAACTAAAACGCATTAGTGTAAACGGGGCCTCATTCACACACAGACACAGACGCACACACATTGTCATGCGCTCGAGACAGGGAGTCAAGGCAGTCAGCGAGTCAGTAGACTGCTTCCATCTTTTACTTTTACACAAGTACTTAGTCATTTTAGCGAACACCTCAGATACTGTTGGCTGGTTTCTGTTGGTTGTGCACCTTTTTTACCGACGCCATTATAACGACACAGATCACTGCCTATTCACGAGTCCCGCAGAAAAAAGTGATTGACAGGTTGTAATTGTGTGTAACTTACCTTTATTCATTCACTGTATGATTTGTTTATGGGTAAAACAAAGACCGTGCAAGTCAGGTAGTTTAAACGGTAGGCTACTAATAATTAATTCGTTATTAATTAATTAATTATTCATAATCGAAAATCGAATCGTAACTTTAGAATCGAAAATGTAATCAAATCGAGGATTTGGAGGATCGTGACCCCCTAATATATATATATATATATATATATATATATATATATATATATATATATATATATATATATATATATTAGGGTTGTAACAATATACCGGTATGACGGTTTACCACGATTTGAACGTGCACGATTATCATACCATGAACAATTGCATATCAACGGTTTTAACCCTTAAAGACCGAGACAGCCGCCCGCGGCTAAAAATAAGTATTGCTCTTAAATGTTTAATAACTTTTGATCCGCTGATCCGATTCATACAATTCAAAGATTGGCATAAAGAAGAGAATCTCAGCTTTCCAGTGCTGGACTTTCAGAGGCTCCGGAATCAGTGCGGTTACGTCATCAACATTTGACAACGCTGATTTGACAAAGAAACGCTCGTCACTGTGTCTCCGGACAAATCAGACATGATACATTGATGCATTGTCCCTCCTCCATGCCCAGATTGGTTCAAACTCGCTATATCACAACCAATAAGCATAGGTTTCGCTTTTGTTTGTGGACCAACATGAGCTTTTTGAACAACACGGAATGAGAGAAAGGCATACATTTATGCGCGGCTAAATAAAACGCAAAAAAAAAGTTTTGCATGAAATAATTCTCATACTAAGTACTTTTGCATGCACAGCAGCACAGAAACATGAAAAAACAGTGACACAGCAAAGACAAACTGCTGCTCTTGCTGTTTTCAAAAGACGCAAATGAAGATGCAGCTGTTTGTCTGCATTGCAGACAACCATATCCATATCCATAGACAACCATATCCTTGCTGGCACATAAAATCTAGGGATGTTCCATATTGAATCTAGTTTCGTTATGTAACTATTTATAGTATAGTAAATATTTATATCTATTTTTTACTGAGGATTTGCACCATGTTTATTTGGACTTTATTTGGACTTTGACACATTATTTATTATTTTCTTATTTTTATTTGTTCATTGTAAGTGGTGTTGTTTATAGTAACTAAAAATATATTATTTGGAAAAAGTCAAATTTGCTTCACTGTTCTATTATTTTGTAACATACCGTATACCGCGAAACCGTCAAACCGTGGTATTGTTTTAGACGATTATCATACCGTGAAAAATTCATACCGTTACAACCCTAATATATATATATATATATATATATATATATATATATATATATATATATATATATATATATATATACATAAATCTAAGGTTACATCAGTTGGAAATTATTTAAATATAGTAAGAACAGACAGATCTAAAATAAATATATTTACTTTTTTACAATTTTTTAATATATAAATAATAAATCAATAAAAAATCTATAATAGATAAATTAGATATAATAGATAAAAATATAGTCATACTGTTAAACCTATGCATTCATTGGTAATATGAAGCTATCAGAATTATTTTTAAATTAAATTATAAACTATAATAGTACACGATCAGCGCAGTTTTAAGTAAAAATGATAATGGAGTGATTATATTTAACTTTCATAGTGTGAATGATAACTGTTCTGTTGTTTTTCATTTTGAAGATTAAAACTCTCAAGCTTTTCAAAAGACGGTGCATTCTGGTTGCTTATCAATGTTTTTAATCACTCCGGATGAATTCAAAATTTCTGCTGCTAGTAAATTAGATATAAATTCCGAATGGTTTATGTTCAGATTCATATCATGATAGGCTCTCTGATCTGTTGTTGGCATTGTTATAACAGCAGCAATATGCATTTTGACATCTGAAGCCAAGTTTCTGTGTACTGAAGATTTTTACATGTAAGTCTTTTACATAATGGTTCTTCCACATTAGCTGATATGCATCAATTTGGCACAAGAACTAATGCTTTTAAACATGCCATCACATTCGCAATATCTACATTAAAAGATGCATATAAAAGTTGATAGATGAATAGATTTTATTAAAGTGTATCTTTTAGGACAGTTGTTCGTCCTGTGTCAGTATTTCTGGCCTGTTGTGTAACAGCCGTCTACTGCAGGGGATTTTGGATTAAAGATAGAAATGATTCCTAAATTAATGCCTTTTTAATTCAAACTGCAAGACTCATCTTACATGTGTGTGATAAAGAATCAGGCCTGTAGCCAGCCCAGTAAAAGGAGTGGTTTCTTGTACT